AGGGAAAGAATACATTTCAAATACACCAGGCAAGCTAGCACACTATAGGCACTAGAACTGTCTACTTTTCATTCCCATTGGAGCCTTCATTGTTCTTAAACGTTTAACACTAATACTCAGTTATGCTACAGCTGCTTCTGTAAAACAGAAACAGGCAACACCCCAAAAAGTACCAGAGCACAGAAGGGATGGTAAGGAAGATGTAGGCATAATCACTGTCCATGAAGGATGACACCCATGAAATTCAGTTAGCTACCTACAAAACTGCTATTTATTTCATAAGGATTGACGTGTTATCTTGTGCACTGGATAACCCTTCTTAGTGATCTCAAACGCTTGATTTGGCCAACCACCTAATCCTTAGCTTCTTTTCCCATCAGTATTCAAAATTAATCCAGAAAAAAAATCAGCTGAGGAAGACTAGAAATTACTGTTTTCGCTGTCATAAAGAGGTAACAAGAACATTCCCGCTGAAAATTTTAAGTCACATTTTCAGTCTCACTGCCCTCCTTTATTCACATTTCTGTACTTAAGCCTCCACACGTATTTCCACACTCTTATATTAATCCTTATGGGAAAGTTTATACTCCCCACAAAACTAAGCTGCTTTGTGTGCAAGACAGACAACAGCACTTTTAATCAGCCATGGAATGCAAACAATGGCTACAGAAGCAATGGCATGCAAAGCATGCCTGTATTAGCTATTTCTTGATTCCTTCTTTACTCTTCACCACACTCACGCTTTAGATCAAGTTATTTTACACATAAAATAATTTTATATCAACCACTTCTAGAGCTTGAAGTGGACTTCATTGCTTTCCTTTATTCCAAACTAAAATTGAGACAACACATCAAGTGAGTCTTTACAAACTGCAGGTTTTTAACTGTAATTACTTTAGAAACAAGCCTAGGGCATGATAAAGTTTGTCAACACCTTCCAAAACAAACTCCATATGAGCAGGGGAAGTTTGTTTGGAGGCTTTTTCAGCTTTGTCACTTGTACATCATTGCTAAACCAGATTCAGACAATTAAAACACCCAATAAATTGGCACCATATAGCTACACCGCATTTAGCTAGCATTATAGATATTTAATCTAAAAATCAAATTTCTTTCTAGGATTAAATCATTAAAAGTAATTCAGCATTTATTTTAAAAATTTTCAATCAAGATTACATCTAAATTGTATTTCACAAGTTCATTAGCTAGCAGCTGTGATAAAGGGAGGCTTTAATAAAGGTATCTCTCTGTTTAAAGTGTCCACTGTTCAAGGCATGCAAGTGGAGTGAAAGGCAGCAAGTTTCCCCACTATGGCAAATTAAAGTTCAAGGCCAGGATGGATGGGGCCTGGAGCAACACGATCTAGTGGGAGGTGTCCCTGCCCAAGGCAAAGGGTTGGAACTAGATAGCCTTTAAGGTCCCCTCGAACTTAAACCATTCTAGGATTCCATGAAGGTTCACAGAAATTAAACTGCTCCTAGTTTTTGAAGAATACTTATCTAGGCACACACAGAAACCTGTCATTGTATAATTGAGAATGAACATAAATTCAATTACATCAGACAGCTGAACCTCAGGTACCTATCGTTGGTAAAGTGAGGCCTTCATGGCAAGTACCTGTTTAACAAACACCACAATATCCAGAACACCAATGTGGTCTCAAAAGCCTGAAAAGGCCACTGAACACACAGGGCAAATATGGAATTTTTCTACATAATGAGCCTTCTGAACTCCTCCAAGAGCTGAGACACAGAGCAAAGTAACCTAGTCCATGCTGTGAATATTCCCATACAAACTGACACAGAGCTAACAGCTATACGGGGTTTTTTTTTAGTGCAAACATCTGAATTCAGAACAAATAAACTCTCCTGCTTAACTGACTCTCTCAAGATCACTTGCCCTTAACTCATACAGAAAAAAGCCCCAACGCC